ACTTTATTTTAGAAAATCTACCATTTCAGAAAATCTTCCAAAAAATCGTGATTTAAACAAATTTTTTTCTATCTAAAAATCAATTAAATATTTATTAAATGCGTAATATTTTTTTTATGTTACTAAAATAATAATATAAATCTGGACTATTGCTATCTAAAAAAATCAAAGAACTACCTTGTAAAAATGTGGAGTTTCTATCAGATTGAAAATTTATATAAATTTGTAATATTAAGTCATAGTAATCAAATTAATTTTTTTTTTTAATAATATTAATTATTATTATATTATTAATGACCTAATTAAATTTTTTTTTTATATTCATTTATTTTGGTTTAAAAAAAATTTTAACAATTCTGCATCCAAGTCTTTCTGACATAATAATAATTATATTTAAAATTTAAATACTTTCAATTTTCATTAAAAATACATATGTAAGTATTTGAGAAACTGAAAAATAGTATACATTTCACATAATTTTAATAATAACTTATAATTTAAAAAAATTGTTGAATATCCATGAATTAATAATGAAAATTTATAATTCATTTTGCCAAAGTTCATCAGGTCGGACACAACCCGAAAGATTCATCCATTAATAAAATAAAAAAAAATTGTTTAAAGTCAATGTAAATAATTAAACGTCAAGTATATTCAAACACTTTATTTGGCGAGTAAAAAGTAGGGCAGAGATTTCCAAGCAGACGTTGATACAGCTAGTAAGGTCATAAGGATTCCTCTGTTGACGTTGAGATGGTGAAGCCCGTCAAAGGCATTCAACAAAGTCAACACGCTGAAATTGGAGTCTTTTATGCTCATTCCATAGATCTATACTAGTAATAGTAATAACTACACAGGTATGGAAAACAGAAAATGAAAAATAAAAAATTGAGAATGTCTACAGCTGGCAGCTACTAGCCATTTTGCTATCCAGTATTATAAATATGCTGAGAGAAAATACGAGAGTGCAGAATGTGAAGTGACTGATACTAGTACCAGTACAAGTAAGGTTGCTCAAACGTTTGGTGGAGCATCAGAATGTTATTCAACCGCGAAGCATCGCTCGATATCGAAAAGCCAAAGTGAGGCTTCCCTTTATTATTTTATTTTATGTTTTTCTCTTGATATTTGTTAGGTAAAATCGCCAGCCGACCAGAAAGCAACTCCACGTCTGACCTACTATCACATTTACTACTTCTCTTTGCCTTCGCCTTCGCTGTCCTATCACCCATCATTCAACACAATAAAGCTTCGCTAGAGCTTTATTTGAGTCTATTAAATTTTTTATGTTACACCCTCAATAAAAACTCCTCATTTCATCCCCCATCAAATCTTTTATCTTGCGATCTTTAGAAGAAAGATTTCTTGTGAAAATTTAAGTTTAACTTTATTTATTTATTAATTAAATTAGAACAAATTTTTTTTTTTATTGTACTTATAATTTTTTACATTTTATAAAATATTATGAAATTTGTCTATTAAAAAAAATTCCCAAAAATTGTTAAATGTCTAACAATTTAAATTTTGTAAAAAATTTTTTAATTTTTCTGTAATAATTTTTAACCATAATATATTCATTAATTAAAAAAAAAATCCCAAAACTTGTCAAATTAATTACTAAGCCTTTAAAATTTTCATTGCAGTCATATAAAATTTTTTCTCTTTAAAAAATCAATCATCACCAGCGTTTTTTAATGACTTCATAATTAAAAGACTGACCTGGATTCACATTTTGAGATAAATTAAAAAAAAGTGTCCATCAAAGGAACTTTAATTTAATGAAAACCGTGAAAAATTAACATAAACGTGCGAATACGGACATAGAAGAATAAAAAGATCCTCAAGTGTGCAATGCGAGCTCACTAACTACAAAAGAGTCTGTGCGATGTTTGCACAAGACTGCAAAGCGGATGGGATGAGTTACTCTTTGGGTCTTTAGTGTTCAAAGGAAACCTGCACCGTAAGCTCCTCTGCAGAGTTGAGTTGAGGATTCCGATTCAGTATCAGAATAAGAGACACTATTCTTAGTATCCACAGAACAAGACTATTGTGCGAGCACAAGGATATTTATAAATCCATGATGTGATGTGAAAGACGTTCCTTTTCCTTCTTCACTCTTTACTCCTTACTCTGTCCTTGACAAGAATGTCGATAAAAAAAAATCTACTTATTTTGTATTATATTATATTATGTTGTATTGAGTTTCTTGTTATGTACTGAGGGAATAATGTGTAAGTAACACGAACATGAGTAATCGGATAACTTTGAGTAGGTGTATTAGTTTTAATTGACGTGGATTTGGATTGGTTCAGTCTAAGTTTAAATTGATAAAGTACCTGTAGTTGGAGCAAGAGCATACTATCTGGGGCTTATGAACGTGACATGCTGTCAAACGACTCAGCACCCGGTAGCTCATCGTGAGTCTCAATTAAAAGCTAAAGTCGTAACGCTTGGTCGAGTTTTCTCTCGCTTATGCTGTCGTATCATTAATGCATTCACGTGGTAGTAATTTCAGCATCTCCGTTGCTGCTTTACCTTATACTTCATCCTTGGTTTAATCTCCGTTGTCTCTCATTTCCTAGAGCCTAAACTTTGCAGTATAGTCCTAGGGATTATTTCTATGTGTGGTGATAATGATAATAAAAATAATAATAACTAGCAACCTTGCAGTCACTATGTGACTGCCAGGACTTGTGAACTATAAATAAATGAAATTTTGCTTTATTAAATAATGACTTTTGTTAAATTGCACTGTACTTTTTTAACTATTGACGTTTTTAAAGATATAAGCTCATCCCGATGTTACACTCATCAAGAGCTTTCATTTGAGTACCCACATGCATTTTGATATATTTTTCATATATACATATATATATAATATATATAAATATATCAAAAATTGATGTGGGTACTCAAATGAAAGGTCTTGATGAGTGTAACATCAGGACGAGCTTATATCTTTGAAAATGTCAATATTTCACAAGATAAAAGGTCATTTCTTAACTATGTATCTAGAGATAAAGCATTTTCGAATGCAGTCTAAATACTTATCATCATAAATTGACTATTGGTGAGAATGATATGAAACCTTGAAAAGGCACAACTCCAGGTCAAGACCTTTCGAATGATACCAAATTCAACCATAAAAACCCATTTTATCATATAAATACACTGGCCAAAAAATTTTTCTTATTCTCTTAATAATATAGATAATAATAATAATAATAATAATAATAATAATAATAATAGTTTGATCAAAGTAACGTTACTGCTGATGCTGATGTTGGCAGTAGCACATTATATACCTTATTATATTACTAGGTAATGGTAGTGATTATGAGGATCATCCCTCTGGTAGTAATGGGTCTGACCCATCGATCGATCTAGTTAGAATTTCACCGTGTAGGCGTTTAAGAGGGTGTGGTTTTACGTTTGAATAGTTCGGCCACCCACTCACATACTCATACTCATATTCTGGCGTCCACTTTGCATTCATTCACGTGCCCATGCACTCGATTGACGCCAAAGAACCCAACGCGAATGATGGAAGCTGATGGTGGTGTGATATATATAAATTTATACATATATGATGAATACTCAAATTTATATGATTACACGGCTTATGCTTCGATATTACCACTCGTTATTTCTCACAATGGCTCATTCACTTTTCCACTTTTCCCAAGTACACAGTTATGAATAAGGCCCTCAATCAACCTTTTTTAATCGCGAGTCAAGTTGCTCATTTCGCGGCCGATTTCATATTTGAAACTGAAATGAATAAGGTATTATTAATATTATTATTTAATAATTTTTTAACAATAAGTGTATTGTATTATTATTTATTATAAAATTAAATATAATATTTAATAATATATGCACAAATATAAACATATATTATAATAATTTTATAATTCATTACGTTGTTATATTTATATTTAATTAATACTATTAATTATTAGTAGCGATAAACTTAATAAAAATTTTTTTTATAATTACAATGTTTGCCTATAATTATTAATAAAAACAAATTAAATTTTTTTGTTAATTGGTTTAAATTATACAATTAAATGTAATTATTATATTTGGTCTTATCCGAGTTAGCAAATAAAATTTTGTGTTTGTAAATACAATAATCGTAGGTATTATTAATATAACTAATAAATAATTATAAATTTTTTTATTGTTATGGTTGTACCGTTGCAAACTTAATAGGTATCTTAATTAGTATACTAATTGTAAAAACTATCCGTTGTAGTGGTTTGTTGAAAATTTACAGTGTTTTTAATTATTCTATTTATTATCAAGTGATAACTATTTTTTTTTTAGTTTTTGGATAGGACTATCTTTACTGGCTACTGGAGGTTTTTAATAATTAACGAGTAAACTTGCAGACTTTTTTATTGTTATTCACGATCGGTGATCTGGTAAATAACAATTAACTTATATATATATATATTGTCTATTACAAATACAATAATATTTTTACAGTACAAAATAATATTGGTCATGAAAAGTTGTTTAATTGGGAATTTTTTTTATTATTTTTGAAAATTATTGCAACAAAAAAAAAACATACTTTTCATGACATAGCTTATTACGAATCTTTCTCAATAATTTTAATTAAAAATAATAAAATGAATGCCTATAAAAGTGAGTAAATTTAAAATAATAATAATGAAAGCCGCATTATTAAAAACCACTAGACAAATGGAGATATGTTGTAATAATAACTTTTATAAACACTCACTGCCAAAAGATAAACTAATTACAATATAAATTTGGGACTGAGACTCCGTTCTAGCGGTATTTAATCTTTGTTTTCTTTTCTCTTTTATCATTTTCTAGAAAAAACTATCGACTTTATTAATCTTAATTCTGATCTCGGTATTGTATAGTAATCCCATTAAGATTCTTGTCCAATCGTTTCGCCACAAAAGTCACGTAGAGGATGCTGAAGATCCCGAGGGGATGACCAGTTCACTGATCAGCTAAATCTTTTAATATCTTCCTACATCGTCGTCTGGCGGCTGGTTTTCTAACGTACAAGGCCTCAGGAATTCTTGGCCTCTCTCGTGCAGCCATTTGTTCGCAACTATTTATTTAATAATATGATTAAGTAGTATTTAATATTTATTTATAACAAAACGATAAAATTTTTATTAATTGTATATAAATATTTACCCCATTTAGAGCCTGTTAAAACTGGACAAGCAGCATGTCGCGTTTTGTAATCTCCTTCTCCATTAGGTTTTAAATTATACCAAAATGCAGCGCTGCCTTTTTTTGGCCACAAAGATATATTTATTGCGGTGAATACTGTACCACCTCCTTGTTCAACATCGCTCATCTGTAAATGAATTAAAAAATTCATTAATAATAAACCAAATAATATCATACTATTTCAAACTTGTATAATACATCAAAATACACTTCAATAAAAAAAAATAAAAAATATTAAAAATTTTTTATAACTGTGAAATAAAAATAGGACTATTGTTTTTTTTTTTTATTTTTTTACAGGTCTTGCTGTTAATTGTAAAATTATTCAAGTTAAAAAAAAAAATTCTATTTTTTATTATCTATAAAATTTTTTGTAGGTACGCCAATTATAGTTTTAGCAAACTTAACAGAGAAATATAAAAAAATTTTTTTGTCACAAATTGAAATATTTTTAAAATAAAAATAAAAAAAAAATTTATGATCCATTTTATTGTCAATTTTTTTATGTATTCTTGTTTCATTTTATATGTATTTTTATTATTAGAATTCAGTGTTGAAATACGTCGTGCATATTATTATTATGTAGTTAATGGAAAAAATAAAATTTTAATGAGTAATAAAAAAATGTAAAATTAAAGCCCCTGAGAGTAAGGAACTATAACGTCTACTTTTATTTAAAACAAAAAAAAATGAATAAATTGTTTAAAAATTTAAACAATAACAATAAAGATAAAAAAAACTTACGTAGTATAAAACAGTAGCGATGCGATTACCAGTTCCAAGACTCTTAAATGCATTAGTTTCCTCTCTCTGAAATCAAGATGCGGACAATTAAATCGATAAATTTGAGAAACGAGCTATTTACAGACTCGATAATTGTATAAAATTGCTTACCCTTGCAAAGTCAAAGTGCGGCTCGTAATGCCCTCCAATACCGTAATTGACCACCTGCAACTCCTCCGCAGTCTCGACAGTCATACTGGTCATATGTTCTACTCTCTGGCTCACAGCCTGTACGTGTTTGTGCTCGTACTCTTGGAGCCATGCACTCTTGCTGATTCGGTAGTTGGCTATTTCCAGTTCACCAGTCTTGTAATTTTGCACAGTAGCACGTTTAAACTGTAATTACAACATTTAGGTAAATGCCTCCTCGATACACGGTGTAATATAATCGATAAACAACCTCCTACAAGTACACACATGCTCGATATTCAACAATAAACATAAACATAAAAATAACAGTTAAAGTTTAATTTAACAGCAAAACAAATAAAAATAAAAAATACATTATTTTATTTAATATTATTACGTAAGATAACAATAATAAAAATAACAGTTTTAGTTCTATATATGTGCAGAAATAGAATACCCACCCTAGGCTGCGCTAATCTTTTTATCGTGTCAATTTCAGCGTCGCTTATTACATCGTGATATATAACAATACGTGGATCGAGATAAGCTTCTTCCTCCTTGAACGGCGCGATTTTTAGAAATGGAATTCCACGATCGATATAACGACATCTTAAGTCTTTTTGGAGTTGAGGTGACATTGGAACTTCGCCGCGACAAAGCATTTCGTAACGCTCACGTTCTGTCATTTCCTCTATTGGTTTTACTTTCTTTTCAACGACTGTGAATTGCTGTAATAAAATTATTTTATATTAGTAAGTTGTGCAATATTGAGTGACAATTTTCATTAATAGTTTATTGAAACTGGTGAAAAACTTTACTTGATTTAAGAGAAAAAAATTAATTAAAAAATTAGATCACCTTAAATTTAGCAGATGAAGTTTTAATAATTTTTTAGACGTGGCTCTTAATTATTTTTTAGGCATAGAAAATCGAAAAAAAATTTTTTTTTCATTTTATTCTTCTAAATCATTAATTAAAAGTTAAAAAAATTTTAATTCTTTTTGCAATTTGAAAATAAAAGAAATATACTTAAATTAAACATAAAATTATAGAATACCATAATATTTTTTACTTCAAAAATTATCAAAAATTGAACAAATATTAATAAGTATCATTATTTTACAATTAAAAATTTTTATATAAATATTTTTCAAATTTGTAAATTTTTGCTGCAATGAAAAATAAAATACAAATAGAAAAAAACTTAATTTTTTATGGTGAAAAAAAGGTGAAGCTACACATCTAAAAAACTACCAAGTTTTCTAACAAAGAAATGTTTCTATAATTTTTCTACTTGATAGAAAATTAAAAAATAATTTTCTAGATTCAAGATTTCGTCTCTCAAATCATATAAATTTTTCTACTAATGTATACTTGATATTAAATGAAATACTTACTTGGCTAGCAAGAGTAAGATCATTTTTTCCGTCTTCACCGCGCTTCCTCTTGCCCTGGCTCTTTTGTATCTCCTCTTGATAGTACGCTCGGTTGCCCAAAGCCCTTTGATGGCTAGGTACAAGTTCAAGAAGCTCATTTGTCATACTCAAGGCACGCGCAACGTTACCTGTAAACCAATAAACCATTTATTTACTGAGCGGTAAGCAAACTCGCGTGAACTGTGAACGGTGTCTACATTTGACTTGGGATCGATCAACAAATAAATTGAGTTACAACTGGGCTATTTATTCCCAGCAGCGGCGTATCGTGAATACCAAATACCTTCCCACGAGTAATATGTGTCTCCTGGCTCCTAGCTTCTATTTCTATTTCTTCTTTCCCAAAGAGACTCTACCCGGCTTTTTTATTCATCGGGACATCTACATTCCGATTTAATATTTCCACTTGGGTCTATTTTTATTTAAATTTTATTATCCGTCTTCTTCACCGAGTTCCACATGCAGAGTTTTACGTCTACTGTACTGTTTGTAGTCTGTAGTCTGTATCTAGTACAGTATTACTGTGTACCATTCCACCGCATCGCAACCGATAAATATTTAATGCCTGAGACTTGCCAAAGTAAAACACCGAGCATTAAAGTTACAGCACAATAAATAAATACCGAAAAGTAAAGCGTACATATAGATTAAAAATTAATCGACCTATTTATAATGCATTTCAGTAAGCAATTCCGTTTCACTCCAAGAACTTATTTTACACACGATACGTGGAGTAGCGCTGTTATGTTTAAATTTCTACCCTTTGCACAAAAACTCCCGATATTTTTTTTTTAAATAATTATCTGGGGAAATGGGTTGCTCAGAAAATAAAAAGCTGCTTCAATTCTACAAGTATTTTCTTATTTCAAAATTGCGGAATAATTTTTCTCGTACATTAGACTGGTTTAAAAATAAAGACTTTTTTTTTTTTCAAAATCTTATAATAATTTTAGAAAATTTTTACATTTATAAAAAATATCTAAACAACGTTTTTTGATAAAACTGCTGTAATTAATATAAGTGAAATTATTTAAAAACTCGAAAAAATCTTCAAAAAATATTTATAGCAAAATTTTGTAATGAGGTGGATAGATTCTCTAAAAAGTTAAAAAATCTCAAAATTAAACTTTGACATTAAATAACTTTTTTTGTAGATCATTCAATTTTCTACAATAATATGCTCGAGTTTTACTATATTGATAGGTCGTTGAAGAGTTATAAAATTCCAAAGCTTAAACAAAATTTTTTTTAGACAAATTTCAAACAAAAAATATAAATCTGCGATGAGCGACCTCTAAATATTATTATCAATAGCTCCGCTTTTAACAAGTATCTTTTCTCATCCCGAAAGTGCTTCAGAGAAAATTTTTAAAATAAAAAAAAAAGTAATTCTTTTTAATCCGTCTAATGAATGAATTTTTGACAAAAACAATAAATTATTTCCCATAACAAAAAAATTTGAATCCAATTCCGTGTCTTATCATCCCTTCTATCACAGTCACGTCTATTTTATTGACTAAAAAAAAAAGTTATTAACGAGATGAAAAAGAGATAGATACCTTGCATATAAGTAGAGAACGCGAGATACTCAAGTATATCTGGCTTGTTTGACGTAGTTCTATTTTGTTCATCCTGAAGCCGGTTCATGGCCTCCTGCATCCACAACACAGTGTGATAATAGTCGCCATTATTGTATGACTGGCGTCCAAGCTCGAAGCAGTCGCCGGCTGGAAAAGCAAAGAGATAAACCCATTATATTGCCGCTATATCAAACGCTACGCATTCATTGTTATACAGAGAGGTGTATCGGGGGTGAGAGTGAAGATGAGGGTGGAATGACATTTAGGTGAATGCATTCTATACTACATTCTACATTCTACTACATACGAATTAACAATCGCGACTGCATGAGTTATTATTATAGTTATAAATAATGTCTACTCTACTCTTCTATACCCGCCTCGCTTTACATCAAGCTTCTATATTTCCTTTTATCAGAGATAGACGTACGCGTAGATATATCACATGATATATCTATCATATTTTCCATCATTCGCTACAACTATTTTGTGCTGTTCTCTTTTTATTTTATATTATGAATTCCAACCTTGATACAAAACACACTCAAGAAATTTACTCTATTTGTAAAAAGTCGGTTTGTTTGTTAATTAACGTTTGTATTATTCATGACGTTGAACTTGTAATAAATAAAATTAAAACCAGATGAGAGGAAGAGGAAGTTACACCCACTTTCACTTTCCCTTTTTTTTTTTTATTTTGTTTTTGGAATAAATATTTGATTAGATTGTATTTATTTAGGCTAAATGTGTAAACATGTTTAAAAATTTTTATAACAATAATAATTAAAACGAAGATGAGGTTTTGCTTTATTGAATTAACAATTGGAAGTAAATGAATAATAAAAGTAAAATGCTGGAAGGCAATCGAGTAGTTAGAATTGTGTTGCGGTCAGCGTTCAAGGGGTTTGCTTCTGTGAGAGAATTTCGGGTTAGACGCGGTCACTGGGGAGCCCGGATTGCCTGGAGGCCGTTAAGCACGGTTCGTGGTAGTGGATGCTTGACGGTGGACAAGCAACTGCTCTCGACGGAGAATATATACTGAACACCGAACATTGAACACCGTGGAGGCAGATATTGCTCAAGAGCAATAGCTAGCTTTATGGAACTGTGATACCAAGAGAACGCCCGGGAACACCAACGACCTGTGGTTAGGAATTCATCCGTAGCTTTTCTCACTGGTGCTTCTCTTGGTGCTTTATACCCGTGACGTTTTGATGCTATTGAACTTTTAGTTACTGGCTGTTAATTGGCTAGTTGTGTTGCTAATAACTATTGAAGTGGTACTTGTTACGGTTAAATATTTTGGAGAGATTTATTTTCCTTTTAAAATTAATATTTAAATAAAACGTTGGAATTTTATGTAAGTTAATAATAAAATATTAAAATTTTTGAAATTTAAAAAATTGGTTTGTTTTTTTAAATGTACTAAAAGAAAAAATTTTTTTAATAGTTGATTTTTTTTTGTCTTAATCACTTAATTACTCAAATTTATTAATACAATTAAAAGATAGATTATAATTTATATTTTAAACCGAAAAAAATTATTTCTAATGGAACTTACAATTTGTAAAAAAAAAATTTCATAAAATGAAATGATTAATTTTCAATAAAATTTTTTAGATATATTCTTAGTAATTTTTTCTCTCAGTGTAATTTAAGTCTTTATATTTTACACTGAGAAAAAAAATACTTATACATAGAGTAGAGAATATATTTTTTTATCTGAAAAATTGGCCGAATAAATTAAAACAATTTTTATTCAATTCAAATAAAGCTGTTTGTACCTACATCTGTTTACTTTTCATAATAAAAACGTCATTTAAATTTTTTATTTAACAAGGAAATTTTGATTGTTTCCCTTAGACCTATATGTAGTTGTAGTAGGTGGTTGCAAATAAATAGAGATTCAAAACAAGTATTTAAATACATTTGGATTGTTGAGTAAATATTGAGTAATAATAATAGTGTTTGATAGTTTACTAGGTAAGGATGTTATTTGCCAAGCTGTTACTCTCTGGAGTGTCAACTCCCAGTCTATTTACATCGATACCAGTAAAGCGATGATTGACAATGATACACGTCTATGTTTGGTTACAGATGAAATATAAAATATAAATGTTTATTTAGATGCACACGGATTATGTGTCAGTAAACAGACTTTTGAGTGTTTGACAATGTCTTTGGGATATCGTGCTGATAAAATCGGTGTACACCTATGTAATATGTAGTATGTATGTATGTTGATAGATAGGCAAAGTGGTTGGACTAACTAGTAAACAGGTATGTATAGGTACTACGGAGCAAGTACATGGTAGAGGAGAGAAGAGAAGAGGAGAGGATAGTATGGAAAGTGTAGAGTGTAGAGTAAAGAGGTTTATGGGTTTTGTGTATAAAGTTGTTGAGCTAAGTGGATTGTCGATGTCGAAAGAGCAATGGATTAATGTAATGGCAAATATCGAGTAATTCAGGAGTAACAGGGGTATGGAGTAGATTTAGTTGTAGTAGTTGAGTAGAACGTAGCGGACGACATCGTAATCGGGATTCGGGATTCGGGGCTTGGGATACTGACCACTTAAGCCGGTGCTGTACTGGACACCGTTGAGGACACCCCTGGCGACCTGGGATGTGTCGAGCTTGTACGTGTCCTGCAGTCTCATGAGGGCCACCGCAGCGCCGTTTAGATCCTCGTCCGTCGGAAATTTCAGGTCACTACGGGAGATCGTGATGTTTGCTACAAATGCCTTCCCCACGTCCTCTGTTATCAGCTCCTCTACGCGCTTCCAATCCGTCGTCAATCGCTTTACGAGCAGGTAAGCGTTTATTGGATTCGAGAGGTACTGTTGGATGTTACGTGATGCCTCTTCGTGCTCGCGAGAGTAATTTTCCACGTTTCTGTAACATTGTTTTTTTAATTAGAATTTTTGTCTTTTTTTTTTTTTTTTTTCATATTTTTTAAATATTTATATTAAAAATAAATACAGTTTGATTGAACATTGCATGAAAAATTATTCAAATGAAATCAATTTTTTAAATAATTCAATGATTCAATATTTTTTTTTATTTCAACTAAAAATCGAAATAAAAAAATATCTAAATTTACTATTAAAAAATGTATTTTTTAAATAAGTAATTTTAATAGTTACACTGGAAAAAAAAAATTAATTTGATTGGAAAAAAAAAATATTAATAAATTTTTAATAATTCCGTTTTTTTGAATCAGCCTTTTTTTAATTTCATCATCCATCATTACGTAACACCATCCAATTATTCTTGATTTAAAATAAAATTATTCCAATTAAAGCCACAAATATACGAGTATAATACAACTACCATTATTAATGGAAAAATAATGATGAAATAAATTTAACGGATGATAAATTAAAAAAATAGTGATAATTATTACAAAATGAGTTGAGACGTGAGTAATCGTTTTTAGATATTATATTTAAATCGCATGGCGACTATGCCGGGTATTGATTTATTAATTATCGAAAATAAAATTAGTGGGGTATGCTATTGAAAATAAGAGTAAAAATAAAAATAAACCTAAAAAATATGTTATTGTTTTGACCTGAAAGGATTTAGATCATCGAGGTGTGACGTTTTAACAACGAGTCTCGAGACTGGATGCAAACGAAATTGAGATGAGATTGAGTGGAGTATAAAAGAGGGAAAGAAAATTGGATTTCGATGCTTGAAAGCTATGACGACCTCGAATTTTAGTTCACGTATACAAAATAAAGAACCAGATTGAATAAAAAAAAAATATAAAATAAACAATAAAAATAAAGGATTCCTAACGTAAGCGATCGTTCAAGCCAAATAACCAACTGCTTTTTTTATTATCTTACTTTTTTAGTTTTTACTCTCTACTTCTACTATTTTGTTATTATTTTCTGTTTTTGCTCTTCCTTTTTTGTTTATTCTTCCTAGCCTGAGAGTTACTTTTGCTTTTGCAAGTGAATAAGCTCACCAGTGTCTGTCTACCGACGATAACGAATTTCATTTCGCAAATATAGAAGCTCAGTAGTCTTCAGTCGACTAAAGACTATTCATTCTATTAAACATATATCTATGAATATTATACACAATCTTATTGACATAATAATAATAATAATAATAATAATAATAAAATAAAGGGGTAGTTAAATTACTTGTAACTGTTGGAAACAAAAGATTTGAGAGAATATTGACACAATATTCTTACATTAATTATACACAACGGCAGATCTTTTATTTCTTCTGTAAAGCGTTCTCAATGCACAGCAGCTAGATAGTATCATTTATAATACATAAAAGAGCGTAAATAGTCCTCTTATTTCATTTGTATTCGGAGAAGTAGTGGAGATTCGCGGAATTAAATAAGAGAAAGAGATAGAAAAAGGTTTAATAAAATAAGAAAAGTTGACGCGAACAAGATAGTGGAGTTAACCAACCGGAAGGAAGACAGATAATGAGTTTAATTTGACTTTATATTCAACAAACTTATAATTAAGATTATACTTTTATTACGGGCAATCATGCTAAATAAATACCCATTTTGAATTTTTTACACATTTATCGGGCAATCTCTGATAGTAAATACTCAACCTATAACAAATAAGTTTTATCGTAAAAAAGTTTTCAAGTACGAATTTATGAGCTGTTTTTTTCCGAAAATATAATATTACTGAGTCGATTTGATTATCTATACAAATTTATTTAGGCAGTTGATTGAAACTAGCTTTAATTTATTATTTCAGAAGTATTTTTTTCAAGTAGTTTTATTTGTTATAATACTTAAATCAAACGCATTAAAAAATTATTTGTTGTATGTTGTTATTAGTGAAATATTCTGATAAGTTGTCAAACTTATAACAAGCTAAATTTGAAGTTTAGAAAGTACATATTCAGAAAAACTTAATAGAAAAATTTATACTTCGAGTTGAATCAATTTTATATTTAAAGTATTGTATTCACAGTTATTATTATTTTTCTTTATCATATTTTTTTACTTGCCATTTGATCATTTGGTATTGGCAAAAATAAAGTATCTATTTATCTATAGATATTGTCTTAAGAATAAGTTCAAAAAAATTTGTTCAATTTTCACATGTAAAATTTTTTTTAATAAAAATTTATTTGTTATAGAAATTCTAATTATATCCAGATTTCAGTTAAGTTTAATATCATATTTAAAAAATGTTACTATACAGACATTTTCCAAGATTTACTTTTGTAACAGACAGTAAAAAATTTTACACTTTGTCTTAATTAATTTAAAGTTTTTCATATTATTTTAAAATTTATAAAATTATTACTGTATATTTAGGTATGAAAAAAATTCTTAGAAAAGAAAGAAAACGAAGAAGAAAAAAAACTGATTGAATAGGACGTGACATTCGATAAGGTACATTTTGGCTGACAATATTACTCCTAAGTACAGGAGTGTGCTAACAAGCAATGAAACACCATATAGTCATGAAATCCTTATCAGTTCTGCGTTCTCAGTTATCTGTTATCAGTAACTAGTCCTGGCGTAGCAGTAGCAAGTAGCAAGAAGCAAAAAGCACCAAGACATTCAACACCATCAGAACCATGAGTAAGGGAATGGAACAGTAGAACTGAACAGCAGGAGGTATCCTTGGAACGATGATTGTATAGGTAGCGGGTAGCGATCATGATAATATCCGATTTCGGTCTGCACGTTCTCTCTGTGGGGTAACAAGATACGAGCAACTGAATGAATGGAACCAACCAATGAGATACACTTTGATTACAAACGCAGTCACTGTAAGGAAAGGTGCTGGTGGATTCACTGTTCCCTTTTGTTCGGTAACTCTTATCATAACTAGGATCAAGCTAACTTACTGGGACGGGACGGGAGAGAGAGCTCGACACCCCGCAATGTCGATTTGATTTGAATATCTCTGATAAGATTTAACTACTCAGAGCTTATTATCTCAACCAATTAAGCTATTTTCATTTATAATTAATGGAACAGTATTATATATATGTATATTTTGGAAGTTGTAATGAGGCTTTAATAAGAGAAGTGTATTGTATCCTGTATTAATTTCCATCAACCGGTATTGCTTCCTGTTGATTACATTTTGCAGAAGCTCTGCTATTATCGATTTAACCTCGTCTCAATTTACAGCATAATATCGATTTTATTGGCTGAGTTTCGTTTTATATTCATGCTGAATTTACATCAGCAATGATAATAATTACACACGGAAAAAAATTACAGAAATAGTTATGTGAAATTTGGAAAAAATAACTGTTAATTTATATTAATTTACTTTTATCAATCAAGATTAAAACGTTGGCGGCAATTATAATATAAAAATAAACTCTTCCACCAGTCGGCGGAAAAGTAATATCCGCTGATAATAATAATAATAATAATCATGATTTTTTGCAGTGGTGAGCGGTGCACCCGGAAATGAAAATTCTAGTTGAGAACTAGAAAGATTTCAAAGTTAAGAAACTTGACAACTTAATTAAAGAAGAAAAAGAATTTACATATAGGGATCAAAACTCGTGTAATAATATTAATTCATATGAAAATGCCATAATTTTTTATTCGATACTCATCGAGGTATTCACGGTGTGTTCAAAAGTTATCTGTGTGAAGATAATTGTATTCCAGAACTCCTTTCGGTGAATTCACTCCAGCTTTAATTAGATTTATTCTATTCGGCAAAGTTCGATACAGGCGGGGGCAGTACTTCAATTTCTCTTAACTTCGATATTCGAATAAAGTTCGTAAGGATATTCAATATTTTAACTCGAAAAAAATTCGATTGAGCGCAAATTTTTGTTTTTTTAATTTTGATACTGAATCCAATCCTCAAAATTTTTTTTTAAATGAAATTATTATGAAAATAATTTGAAAAATTGATTATTCATATGGAAATTCAAAAAAGTAGAAATGCAATGTTTAAAAAAAATATTTTGTTAATACTATTTATTTTTTAATTAACACAAAAAAAAATCTTTCTAATAATTTTTTACATTTTTATAGAAAACCAATTATAACAATAAAAAAAATTTTTTTTGAATAATTGGCAATTATAATTTTTTTTTTAATTTCTACATGTGGAATTTTTTTACTAAATTTTTCGCATCATAATTTAATTTAAAAAATCAAAAAAATTATTAAATATCATTTAATTTCTGTATTATTTTGAATTATAAATAAAAGATATATTCAATATTAAAAACAAAAATTGTTAATTTTTAATGATACTGAAATTAAGTAATGTCTGAAAATTTTTTTATTTTTAAAATATATGTAAATGTCTATAATACTAAAGTTAGCCGACATTTCTAATTTTTTATTTTTTTCCATTAATTAAATTGGAACAAAAAAATATTGTTAAAAAATAGTAATTTTTGACTATCTAAACTTTATATATATATATATATTGATAGTAAAATTAAGTTAGCTAGACTAATTTTAAAATTTTAGTAAGTTTTTTTTTTATTGAAAAAATGATTACAAAAAAATAAAAAAAAAAATTTTCACTTGTCAAAAACTTTAAAAACTGTAAGTGCAATTTTTTAAAAATATTTTTTTGTTATAATTTAATTATTAAAAAAAAAAGATAAAAAAATTAAAAATGTCGGCTAACTTTAGTATCGTTATATATTGTTGTAATTTAAAAAAATTTATTAGCTTAACAACAAGTTCAAATTTCCCGCAAAACGAAAAAACTAAAAAGTTTCTACTGTATCTATCGCCGAAAATCCATAATCCACCCAGCCCAAAAGATGTCAGCACCGAGACCACTGCGGTAGGTATCCAAGCATGCGCAGAGCTACCGAGAGTGATGTTTCTCCGCGCCGACGCCCCACGATGTGGTCGCGGCAAAATACTATCCCATCGGCGCAGCAGCCGCGAACAACACATGATACAGTGGATGGTAACTCCTGCATTAATATTAGTAATTAAAAGTGGAAGTAACCATAAAAAAGCGATGTAAACAATAAAATAAGTTGTTAAACAAAAAGTTCGACCGTAAACTAACCTAAGTGAGTGAGTGTATTACCAACAGAAAAGAAACTAAGTTATAAAACGTTTCAGCAGAAGACACGGACTCGGGATTGCTGGGAGTAGTGTTGTAGAAGGCAGGCAACAATGGCCGACGTTCGGCTGGGCGACGACAACTTGGAGTCAGAGTCCGCTGTTGACGCTCTCGAATACACCCACTACCAATCTGGAGAATTTTCACGGCGTGTTCACCGGGACTGGATAAAATCCCGGGATCCGCAGTCCATAATAACAGACAACGACCCAGCCAGCATCTCCATTGGCGTCAATACTGACTTAAGTTTGCGTATCGGCACCCAGAAGTCTAGCTGTGCATGGACATGGCACTTCGAAATCAGAACAATAGGCCGCCAGCTGAAAAACCTAGCACTCTCGCTGGACGTGCACCGCGACAACTTCAGCATAAAAGCCGTCCAGCGTGACGGAAAAAATATAGGGTACTGCGATGGTGGCCAGGAGTGGTACGACCCAGTGACCAGAGACTCGCGTCGAGATCTTATCGGTGAGACAGTTATTTCATACCTCGTGACCATCATCTTCGAGGCCGGCGAGCACGGGACCTTCCGCCAGAACGTCCTCTTCGGGTTCGAGGGCTACCCTGTGGTGAGACGGAAAATTTGCGCGGACTTTGTGCCATTCAACGACCTGACACGTCTCGACGAGGCGACCCGGTACTTTTTGAACCAAACGGCCCACGTCTGGTCCCTGAAGAACACCACCGGAGACTTTCATCCTTTCGAGTCGCCGTTCGTACCCGGAAAAGATACCTGGGAGAAAAATCTCAGCAAGGCGTACCCTTATCTTGGTGAACTGTTCATGCTGTCGCACGCGACGTTGACGGAAAACTGCCTCACGAGGAAGAATTACCGCGGGAGAATGCACGAGCTTATTGCTGTCGAGGAGTTGGCCAGACATGAACAAGTTGCTAGGTACAATTCTATTGTTGACTTTCATCTCGCTTCTTGTTATGTTTTATCTTCACACACTGATGGTTCTACAACTGCTAAATACGCGCCTCTTGGAGAATTGTTTGCTCAGGTTTGTTTGTACTTCATTATCATATTAATAAAAATTACTTTGGTTAAAGAATAATAATTTTGATCAATGAAAATTATTTAGAGTTAAATTTTTTTCTTAAATTAAAACAGTAAAAATTTTTTTAATTAAAAAATTTTTTTTTTATATTATTTTTATTGATTTTTTAAAAATTAAATTGAATACTTGTTTATTTTTTAAATAGCTGTCTCTAGGTCGTGGAATATCAGAAGACATGAAAAGCGGTCGCTTATTATTAAGAGGCTGCAACAATATCCTGATTAAAATGTACAACCCGGACGATAACTCAGAAATATCGTCGGAAATATTCGAAGCCCATGTCGAGGATAAATGCAATTACATGATTTACGCGCGACTGTCAAAACACTGCGTGGAAAGATTGAATCTCAAGCCGGACACTCAAGTTAAGATGCACGTCCAATTTGTCTTAAGCCGGATGCCATTTTGCGAGTGGCATCGAGCTGTCGACTGTCTGCCGGACGAGAGATTGGTCTTTCCGGACCCCAATTTCCAGCTGACGATGCGGTTACCGCCAATTCCCGAGTCCAATGAGGACTGGTATGATTTGCTGGACAACCGGCTGAATGATAAGCAACGCGAGGCACTCACGCTGATGATTGCTCCGAATCACATCTACCTGCCGCCCATTCTCCTCCTGGGACCCTACGGAACCGGAAAGACCTTTACGATTGCTCAGGCGTTGCTTATTATTTTGCACCAGAATCCTTTGAACAAAGTCCTGCTGTGCACGCAGAGCAACAGTGCCGCTGATCTCTATGTTAAGGAGTTCTTCGATGAGTGGTACATAAGATCGAAAAAAGAAAGGCTTAAACCTATGAGGATTTACTACAAGAGACGCTTGAGAAATACGGTATGCTATTTAATTTACATTTTATATACATTTAAGATTTAAGCGACTGAAATTTTTTATCTCGTTACAAAGAAAAACTTAAAAATTGAAATATTTAGATGGGATTCATGAATAAATTTTAAGTACGAGTTTTACAGCTAAACTTTCCTTTTTTTCGCGATTTACTAAACGTTTGTAATCACAATTTAAAGTTTATTTATATACAAATTTTTTAACAAAAAAAAAAAAAAAAAAAAAAACTGTCAATTATTTAATGAATAATTTATCTAATATTAAATGATTTAATTTACAGGTCCACGCGACGGTGAGAAAGTACTGTCTGACGGACCCGAACGGGTACTTCTGCGACCCGACAAAGCAGGACATCGAGAACTGTGGACTGATCGTAACAACTCTGGCAACATCCAGCTGTTTGATCGCATTGGATTACGAACCAACGCATATTGTTATTGATGAAGCCGCACAAGCATTAGAGTGCGAGGCAATAACGCCTTTGGCGCTGGTCGGAACTCGAACGCGTTTGATTTTGTCCGGAGATCAGATGCAACTGGCACCCGAAGTATACAGTGATCTGTCAAAGGAACGAGGATTGGGGATGAGCTTGCTGGAAAGACTGCACAATCTATATCCACCTCGGCATCCCTGCCGTATCAACCTATGTCAGAATTATCGCTCTCACGCAGCTATTGTGCAATTGACCTCTAATTTGTTCTACGGGAATGAAATTGAATCGAGTGGCCCGCTGTTACCTGAGGCGCCTAACTTTAAGCCGCTTATTTTTTACGCCGTCGCGGGAACTGAAATTCAGGTACTGTATTTAATAATTATTTAATATTATTATTATTATTATTATTATTTACTACATCGATCTTTAGTTCTTAACTCGTTGCTCTCGTTAAATATTTTTTATTTCAATTCATCTTTGAATATATGAGCCATGAATTAATGAATGATTTAAATATCTATAGCTAGCTAGCTAGCTAGCAAGCTATGAATGCCAAAACGTATTTTATTACTTCATGTTTATGAAATGATGCATTACACTTTAATGTATTCCATATATTACACTTTTTTACGTCAACAACACCATTAAAATTTAATATTTAACTTTATACTCGATTAATTATTAAAACCATATCATGATAACCTTATTTATTTATTTTTTTTATTTTTTCAGGGAGAATTCTCGACGGGTTTCTACAACGACGAAGAGGCAGTAGAACTAGCGAAGCAGATTGCATTTCTTAAGTCCCGATGGCCGGTCGAAGAATGGGGCCCGTTTTCCGAGGACTCGATCGGAGTACTGGCTCACTACTCCGAGCAAGTAGCAAGAATACGAAACGAGTTGCGTAAGCGTAAATTATTTTCAGTGTCAGTCGAGCGAGTGCTTAATGTCCAGGGTAAACAGTTCACCGCGGTGTTTATAAGTACGGTACGAACGCGCAATTGTTGTAGATACTCAGCGGAGAACAGTGTGAGTGATTATGGTTTCTTGACCAATCCAAGATTGTTAAATACCGCGATAACTCGCGCCAAGGCACTGGTAGCGGTCGTCGGTGACCCCGTGGCGTTGCTAACTACCGGACCGTGTCGTTCTCTGTGGGGTAAATACTTTCAAAAAGCTAAAGTCTGGGGGATTCCTTATTTACAACTCAAGGAACACATGATGCACAGCCAAGCGCCCCCGGTACCACTTGGCCCGCCTCTTAATCCACTTGCGCGTGAGTTTGTACCGCGAAAAGTGTGAGTAGCTATAATTTAAATTTATATTAACGGATATATCTCATTTTAATTAATTTTATTTTATAAGTATATTTTGAGATTTTCTTTTTTATAGGCTACACTCTAATTAATTATTTTTTAATTACCAAGTATAAGCAAATTATACTGGATTATTATTATATAAATAAAATATATTATATATTATTACCAATATATATATATATATATATATATATATATATATACATATATATTATTATTATTGTACAATGTAACATTTAATAAGAATATATTGAATATGCCGATTATGATAATAAACAAATAATTATAATTACAATAACAATAATGACTATCAAGTTGGCCAATAGATTTATAAAGCATGGTTAATATTGTAACAATGCATCTGTATAATTTTTATAAGTGAATAAATTTAGTAAATATAATAAAAAAATTTCAAACAAAAACACTAAAATTGATAAGATTAATGATAAATATATAATACTAAAAATTTGATCAATAATTACCATTGAAAGTTTTATTATGCATTTATCATTATCAGAATCTGGGTTTTTTTTTTTTTATTTTAACTACCTGCTTGTAACCAATAGTTAAATAAAAAAACTTCCTTTAAAACCGAGTACAGATAACTACGGTAAAAGCTCTTGAAAAGATGTACAAGCTTTGGCTAATCCCTTTGCTGGGGTGTTAAGCCTGAAAAAAGTAAGCTCGTGAAGTTTAACAATTTTCAATTTTAAAGAAAAAAGCAACTTTTGAAACGCGGAAACGAGCAAAGCGCTCAATATGCGGACAGACGAGTTAACCAATGCGGTCTACCATCAAAACTGGGCTGTCTGTGTGGTGGTCGGTGCTCTTTTCTCGGGCGTTCTTTATAAACCCACACACGTATCTATTTTTTTATTTCACTAGTACAGTACGGTTTCCAATAACGCTCAGTACAGTATTTGTGCAAGTACTAACGCAGAATAGAAGAGGCGATGAGTAGCTCTTTTTGTGTCTAAAATTACACTCAGTCCATAAAAATTCTCGATTATTCTCTTTTATGCAGTAGTGGGTAGGTTGGTTTTATGTCTAAAAACGTGTTACGTCAATACCGATGCGACGGAGAGAGAGGATATTTAAATATATATGTATAGTAAAAATATATTGCGCAAAGGGTCGTAATTGTCTGTCGGTGGATGAATGCCCGGTTTACTCTCTGCGACGCGAGATATAGCTGGTTTAATTGTATATCGATGGAAATATGTATATGTACATATTAGATATGTATATAGTTATATATTTCGGGGAAAGGAGTGATGGATAGATGGATAGATAGATAGTTACGTCCCTATTGCGTCACTAACAGATAAGCTGTTGGTGTTTCTGGTGGACATCGGTCGGATGACATTGTATGTTAGTGCAGCTAGCAGAGCAGACTGCACCCGATGGATCCAATGGCATCCTGTAGTGACCATCACTGCATCCACAAAGATACGCTGGTTGAGCTCAACAAAAGCAAATACGCTAACCAATAATCCTGGCTTCCATTATTCGGTGCGCTTTATACTTTATTTTGTATTTCTATATACTTTATATCTATTCCTATTCTGTCTCTGTATATTTATATAGGTACATAGGTCTATACCTATGAGATGGTGATTGTAGTATTTCACTGTAGATTATCGATAAATTACTAATCTCTACTGTACTACTATAGCATACCCGATCTAGCTACTGTCCACGTTACTAATTAGTCATGCGTTTATCCGCATTGTCAGAGACACACGCATGCGGTAATTGACGCTCGACTACTAATTCCCGTTCGCTGTTCGTTGTGTCATTATCTTTCATTATTTCACATCATCGGCGCCTGGGATACGAAAGATTATCTGTGATTTTCTGACTACTATTCTTCGATGTTATTGTTCGGTGTTTACGTAAAAATTAAGCCGGAAATAATGACGGTAGCAATAGTTGAGTAATAAGTTATCAGAAATATATACGTTAAGGTAGATCGAAAAAGGCGAGAATTTTTTTTTATTTTTTTTTTTTTTCTTTCAAATAATCTTGGAATTATGTTAGAGAATATCAAAATGAAGATTATGTCAAAGTTTGAGCCCTTATTTTTTAACTAAAACTATTTTTAAACTTCGTCTTACAAGCAACTTACCAATTGGCGCGATACATATTTTTTATTAGTAAATAGATATTCATAAAAATAAATAAATTTTCATTTAAATAATAATAATTTTATTAAAAATGCAAGAAAATCTGCCAATTAGGCTATGGCCAACTTTAACTTTGAATAACTTTTGAAAAATAAATTTATCGAAAAAATCATAAGACCTTCTTTGTAGAGCGTTCATTTTTCTATAAAAAATCTTTATGGCGCTAGTTGATATCTTGCTTGTGAGACAAGTTATAAAATTCAGAAGTTTATAAATATTTTTTCCTATCTTATTTGAATAGGAAATTTCTAATATTGAAGATTTTAATTTTTGTATTTTTCAATGAATTTTAAGATAGTTAAAAAAAAATTTTTTTTTTTTTCAATTTTCTTATATCAGTATTGGAGTTTTAAAGTTTATTTTACCTAAAGTTTAGATCCCAGAGTCGAATGTTTTTTTCAAGCTTTTTTTTAAAGCTTTATTTATTTTATTTCTCGCGAAGAGATATAGATAAATAGAGAAGTAAGAGTAAAGTAAAGCGACGAAGAAGATGTAACCACATGTGCAGTAGGAATGAAAGTTGTGAAAAATGAGTTCTCGAGTCTGCATACGCTTAGAATGCAAATGTACTCTACATCTCTTGTGGCTCTAAACACACAACTGTCAGGGTATGCTGGCGAGGAAGATGACAAAGAAGAAGTTAAAGTAAAAGAAGGAGAAGAAGTCGGAAAAGTAAAAAGAAAAATAGATGATGAAGAGAATATGATGGCAATGGTATGAGTAAAGTGATGTGTAATAGAATTCAAAGCAAGCGAGAATAATAAAATAAGGAGAGAAAAAGATAAAGATAAAGTAGAACAGTACAGTAGGTTGAGAAAGTAAGACGGTGGATGGTGGATCTTGTGATCAAACTTTACACACTCTACGTAGAAACTTGGAGAAATTATGTCCTGATGGGCTGAAGCGCATGGGTCGCCGATAAATCGCAGCCCAGCAAATGCCTTAAGAGAGTTTCCAAACGAATATCAAAGTCGGCTACACCAGAAGGTAGCAGAGAGAAGTATGTATTAAGTTAGATTTCTGGGAGTGCAAGAGAGAAGAAAAACAAGTCGTGGTATAGGTGTTCCATTCTTACATTACATTACGAATAAAAAGTAAAATCTCTTGTAGCTGTATAAGGAGCGCCTATACATCCTCGATCCTGACTCGTCAGTGGTTTATGGTGTCACAGTCAACGATTCCTCTGGCACTGCTGCTTATACTCCGACAACATAAATTGAACGGCGCGAAATTACCAATAAATTTTATTGTATCCAATTGACTTAGCTCCCATGTTAATAAAACTTTTGACGACTTATGTAATAAGAGTCTCTGATTTTCTATATTCTTAAACTCGTTTTATCATTCTTATTCAAGAATAAGACGATCCCTTCTATTCCTTAGTCTCGAATAACTCTCGGAGGACTACCAGCCAGCAGAGTGAGCTGTGAAGTAAAGGGAGTTTGTGAATTTAACGGAAGAATCGTGAACCGGAAAGGAAATATGTCTTGAATAAAAGTGATGTCAATGCAGAATTGATCAGGTAGACGGAGGGGAATTATCGTAGTTTTGAAAGTGATTTAAAGACGAGAGGGTAACGAGTAAAGTAGAAAACGAGGATGAGGAGCTGAGTGAAAGTTTAAATTATAACATTCCAAGCTGTATTTTCGATAATTTCTCCTCTTTCTGGTAGATTCGATATTTGAGCATGTCCGCTCCACGTCTTTACCCTTTTCAACGTGTCCTATCAACACTCAGAGATTTGAACGAATACGAGGGATGTAAGCAATCGAGGACCCCAGAACACCCATGATTATGCATTAAATGTCGTTTCGAGCTGGCATTCCCAATCGGATTCACCGACTACTACAACCATTTTGGTATTATAATTGTATAAGACTGTCCACCTGATATTGCCGATCGCTGGACCCTATTCAGCAACTTTGAATGCTCAAGTAGAGCTGCTTTTACTGCTGATGCTCCAACTGCTGTTAGTATTAGTGCTAGTATTAGAACAGGCTATGTTGGGACACAAAGTAGTGTGGAAACAGCCAAAGCTTTGATGGTTTTGGTGCTACTCCCCGGAGAGGTGGAAAGAGAATATTGCTTAACGATCGAATCAATAGACTGACGTGTAACGAAGAAACTTTTCCCGCCTTTCATTCAATACCTCTCAGCTGTGCGGTTTTTCAATCTCACTTTCGCCCACATCCAGACCTTCTGAATTATATATGTTTCTATTCTATGTATACATACTTAGCTACCATAGAGAAACTTTTCTATTTGAAAGGGCTTTCGTGGTGACGGCTGTTCAATCGATCAACATGTGCATATAGATTTTAGCCAAATATCATTCCTGCGTTATTGTTGATTTATCATTTTCAGATTAGTCATTAATGATTAATGATTAGAGAAGTAATTAATTACTGGAAAGCTCTGGGCATAAAGGGGTGAGTAGCTCATTTCGGACGGGTGAAATTGAATTGACTCATTATTTTTGTGAGGTATGTTTTCAATTTGATATTTTGGTCATTACTCCGTGGAATGATTTATCATTATCGAATGTTAAATATTAAAACCCGAAATTTATCAAGAACAGTTGAAAAATTACAGTTTTAAGTACAATTTATAAAAAAATGAATGCTATAAGGAAATAAGTGGAAAATTTGGTTTGAAAATTAAAATTTTACAAACTTTGTTGTTTTTTTATAAATATTCTTGTCAATATTTTATGTGTTTAAAATAAATTTTTTATCAATTTAGGATATAAATTCTTTTCATAAAAGATAATTTTGACAAAATCTAAGGAATATCAATT